CAGTGAGCGAGCTCAGACACCAAGGGGGCCTGGGTTTTTGACGCGAGACCGGCGCCTTGTTTCACGCGCTTTTTCTGACTGAGCCGGGAGAGGAGACGACGCTTTTTCTCACTGGCAAGAACCGGGATGATAGACGACGCTTTTTCTCACTGGCAAGAACCCGGATGATAGACGACGCTCATCCTGCCTGGCAAGAAACCAGGATAGAAGAAACACACACAGCAGGCCCCAAACAGGGCCATATCTCGTTGGCCTGCTTGTCCCCTTGCTGTGAATGCCCGTTCATCGTGTGCTCAATACAGACCCGCGCGGTCTGCTCCACGCAGCCTCGCGGCAATTCAACAATACCTGGCAAGCCACTGGTCCTGGAGGCTGCGTCCTGCAACGTGTGACCTCGCATCTGGTCGAAGCAAGGCTGGCACGTCTTGTGCCTCCCACTGGCCGAGCGCGCACACAGGCGGGGTTGAACTGCGCCGACCCTCCTCCTTATCGTTATTGTTAGGCCCAGGCACCGCTGCTGCTTTCGTGCCCAACGACGCAGTAGCCGGGCCAGTGAAGCAAGCATCCTCACCTTGCAAGACGTTGCTTGGGTGTTCGTATCATGCGCCGCTGGTCAAGTGAGACTCGAACCGTGACGAGGCGTGCATCGTGTTCATATGGGTCTTTCCGTGACGCACTTTATCAGGCTCTGGCTCCGGGATGCTAGCAGTTTCGTCGCATCCTACTGTGCATTTTCTTGTTGACCTACAGAGATGCGTCGAGCCAACGCGTTCTACGCCTATGCCTATGCCTGTGCTTGTGCAGCGCCGCACCACTTCCTCGGCACAGTACACAGTACGGTTTCCCCACGACTTGTCCCAGCAGCGTCGAGGGTCAGTCGTGGCTGACGCAGCGGGCCGTCTCGTGTTGAGATCTCGTCCCACAGGCTTTTCGTGATTCACGTTGAGTGCACTGGACCCCTGCTGGGCGTGCGTGACGAAGGCAAAGGGGGACTTGCCACCCTCCATCAGCCAAGACGGAGATGGAGGAGGGGGTGGACGGGCGGGCAACAGGAGACGGCGCCGGTAGACATCTCGGGCCTGAACAGTGAAGTCTCGACGGGACAACCATTGAATGCGCCGACGGGACACCATGGAGTGCGCCGACGGGACACCATGGAGTGCGCCGACGCGACACGCAAGTGAAGACCAGGAACAGGCTGGTGGGCCACATTTCATCATCGCCCGGCAGAAAGGGCCCCAGCAGGCGATTCTTTCAGTGGACTTCCGGGTGCAAGTGGAAATGATCGGCTGCCTGTATCGCCAGGGTGAAACACGACTGCGAAAAGTGACGAGCAGGGCAAGCCGGTTCTCTGGGCGAAAGGCGAAAGGCGAAAGCGAACGACTTGCCTCGAAGGTCACCGTTTGGCCATCACATTGCATATGTCTCTTCTCAAGTGTGCTGGTGACAGAAACGCATCCGCAGACGTCTTAATTTGGTGACGGGCCGACCAAGTGATGGAAGCGGCCTGGTGCCATTGGATCACCACTCGCCCGCCAGTGCTTTGTATTCGGTTGCTGCGGAATTCACAGTCCCACCTGGCGCTCGATTCGCTAGCCCTTGGTGTTAACTTGCTACCCTGCACAGTCGGGCGGTGCAGTCCGAAGCATCGCCAGCGTGCTGA